AAAATTGATATCAAATAAAATTGGAATTTTTTTTAAATATTTTAATTAGTTTTTTTTCTATTCGATTTTTTCTGTTAATTTTTTTTTTCAGTTTAATTGATTTATTATTATTTTTATCACCTAAATAATTTTAAATAAATAGTTGCATTTACAATCTTTTTAAATACGAGAGGAAGAGTGTTATCGCATTTTTAGAATGAAAGAAAAATATGAACATTTTTTCTTTTAGAATCTTGAAGATAAAAAGGTAAAGGAGAACGAAAGCAATGTTGCGATTGAATTGAAAGTATAAACTTTCTTAAGGATAAGTAAATGAAAAGTAAAAGGTAATGAAGAGACGGATGGTTACTTTAGAAATATTAATATTGAAGGGTGTTTAAAAAATAGTAATAATTATTTTTTAAAATAATTTTTTATTTGAAATATATTAAAATAATTTTTTTAAAAAATATTATTTTTAATATTAGTATATACAAATAATATAATAGAAAATTAAATAAATATAATATAATTGAACTTCAACATCATGCAAGACCAGATATTACCGGCAAGGCACAAGTCACCGGACCCCACATTCAGATAAGGCAAGATAAGGCCTATACTTTCACAACCCTCAGATGGATACGCAAATTGATCCAATGGCCTGTAATTACCACCGAAGATAAAGCATCTAACCTTCATTAAAAGCCAGTGTAGCACGGCGGAACTAACAATCACTTCTTCAAGTCTCCTAAAATCACACCTGAGTCTAGCCATGACTGCCTCCACAGCTGCTGCAGCTACATCCTCCTTCATTGGAACACGTCTGCCCGACGTCTACTCAAACGCGGGTAGGGTCCAAGCCAGGTTCGGATTTGGCAAGCAAGCACCCAACACATCTATGAAGACCACTCCAGACCGCCCACTTTGGTATCCAGGAGCCAAGGCACCTGAGTACCTAGATGGCAGTTTGGTTGGTGATTACGGGTTTGACCCATTTGGGTTGGGCAGACCAGCTGAGTACTTGCAGTTCGAGCTTGACTCTTTGGATCAAAACTTGGCTAAGAATCTGGCTGGAGATATTATTGGGACCCGTACTGAAGTTTCTGATGTGAAGTCAACTCCGTTCCAGCCTTACAGTGAGGTTTTCGGGTTGCAAAGGTTCAGGGAGTGTGAGCTTATTCATGGAAGGTGGGCTATGTTGGCTACTCTCGGTGCTCTCTCAGTCGAGTGGCTCACTGGAGTTACCTGGCAAGATGCTGGAAAGGTACATATATCAGGAATTTGTCTTTTAGTGATGCATTTAAGTTCAGGTGGCTGATGATCTTGTGTCCTTTTCAGGTTGAATTAGTTGAAGGATCATCATACCTTGGTCAGCCGCTACCATTTTCCATTACAACATTGATCTGGATTGAGGTTTTGGTGATTGGATACATTGAATTCCAAAGGAACGCAGAGCTTGACCCAGAGAAAAGACTCTACCCAGGAGGCAGTTTCTTTGATCCTCTTGGCTTAGCTGCTGACCCAGAAAAGAAGGCTACCCTTCAATTGGCAGAGATCAAGCACGCTCGCCTTGCCATGGTTGCCTTCCTAGGCTTTGCAGTGCAAGCTTGGGTTACAGGAAAAGGCCCCCTCAACAACTGGGCTACTCACTTAAGTGATCCTCTCCACACGACCATTATTGACACCCTGTCCTCTTAAAAAATGTGATCCTTCGCCCTGAGAATGTTTTAATCGGCTTAAAGTGTTGCCAGATCCTCCTTGTCTTCTTGTAAAAATTATAACCTTCGACAATTTAAGCACATTCTTGTGGCCCTCTATTGCTTCTTGATATTGTTAATGTGTGATCATTGAAGTAGCTAGTCATGAATGTATGTCACCCTGGGAAGCTTAAGGGACCATGTACAGATCATAAACTTGTTTTTGTGGCGGAAATTAAGCTAGGATTCGTGAAAGAGAGTAACTTGGTTAACATCAAAAAGTATTCCACCTTGCCATCTGCCCTGCTTGTGCACTCCAGCCAATTATGAATTCTCAACTTAAAAAGTTCTTGGATTCGGATTGTTGGTTCACATAAATTTGAAATATGCCGAATATTTTCCAATTTCTTAATTAAACTCGGAATCCAATTATCAGCATATCTAAGGAAGTGAAAATATGCCGAACAGTTTTCCGTGTTAATTAAACTTGAATTCAATTATCAGCATATCTTAGGAAGTGAAGATTTTCGTAATCTTTATCAAATCCGAAAGTATAGGGCTTGTCTCTGGGACAAGGCTAAGGTGGGGAGTCACTAGCAAACCATAGAAACAAAGCTGCTAAGCATCGGTCGCAGCCATAGAAACAAACTCATGAGCAAGCTCTACGCCAGCCTGAAAGTGCTACAGAAATGCAAGTAGACAGATAATTAGATTTAGGGAGAGACATTTGTTGCATTTAAACCGTAATAATTGTATTATTCTGGGTATATCTAAAACAAACTAACACTAAAACACACGTGCATTGGTGCAAGACATTTGTAGCATCAAACCGAGTTGCTAAGTAATTTCTAAAATCTTTCGACTGAAACTCGTATCTAGTTTAAATTTTAAATTAAATTATAAAAAAATTAATTTATTATAATCCAGCTCAATTTTCAAATTAAAAAAAAAACATAAAAAACAATAAAAAAATAAAAGTTGATTAAAAAAGTTTCAAGATATTTTTTTATATAAATATTAAAATGATGCATCTCGGACTAAATATATTTTTAAACATGAAAAAAAATCTAAATAAAAAAAAACTCAAGCACATGAATATAAAAATAACCTAGGCAGCTAGCAATAACGTAGATTAAATTTTTAAAAAATAAATTCAAGTTGACTAAAAACTTTGTAAAAATGAAATTGAAACCAATTAATCAATTCATAAATTAAAATGAAACACATTACAAAGACTAAATCAATTGCTTTAAAAAAGACTAAATCAATTGCTTTCAAAAAAATATAATGTGATATTTTTTTTTAAATAACACAAAGATATATTATATTGATTCCAGTTTCATTATTTAACTTGTTAAATTTGTGATATCGGTTATGTACTTTACTAAATTTAATAATTTTTTTTGTTTAAATATATCTTTTATCTAAATATGTGATTAAAAAATTAGTTTTTTTTCAAAAAAAAAGTTAAAAAAATTTAAGATGATATTAAAAAAAATTAATTGATGCTCTAATATATTTAATCAGAGTTTTTAGCCTAGGCTAACATAACTGGTTTTGATTTATTATTTTAAGGGGTGGACCTAGGTAGGTGTTTTTTTTATAATAAGATAAATGAAGTGTTGTTTGTTTAACCAAATTCTAGCCATTTTTATAATGGTAGAAAAATCAAGATAAATTTTTTTTGCTTTAAATATTATTTTTTTCAACTTGTTTTCACTCAATAAACACCCATACAAGCATAAAGAAAAAAAAACTTAAGTTATTAATCTTAAAAACCTCAAAAACAATATGAAAACATAAAAAATCAAATCGGTTAGAATCTTTCTTTCTTGAAATTGATATGTTTTTTAAGATATTATTGAAATTCAAAATAATCATCATCAAATCTTTTTTGTTAAATAAAACTTGTTAACACCAAGATTAATTTTTTCGTGGCTAAAATTGATGTTAACCGATATTTTTTCTCTCATATCTCATATCCAAGGATTGAAAAAAAAATTGAATAAAAATTAAATTTTCAAACAATATAAGGACTGTCAAGATTGAAAAATGAAAGTAGAAGGATGTAAATAACTATTTTAACTAGATTTTAGATTGGCATAAGTTTTTATTATGTTTTACGCTTTGGTCCCCTATCATTGGGTTTTTATTTTTTTAACAAATTTTGATCAATTAGACATGTAAAGATAAAATTAAAAAAATTAAAGACTAAATTAAAAAAATAATAACAAATTTTGATCAATTTTTAAATGTTAAGATATTTTTTACGATTTATGACTCTTAAAGTGTCACTTTAAATTTTAATTATTTTTTGAAAAGTTACCATACCATATGAATTTTTAATAATCTAAAAAAAACTTAAGTTATTAATCTTGAAAACCTCAAAAAAGTATGAAAACATAAAAAATCAAATCAGTTCAAATCTTTCATGCTTGAAATTGATATGTTTTTTAAGGTATTATTAAAATTTAAAACAGTTATCATCAAATTTTTCTTGTTAAATAAAACTTGTTAACACCAAGATTAATTTTTTTATGGCTAAAATCGATGTTAACGAATATTTTTTCACTCATATCTCATATCCAAAAATTGGAAAAAAAAATTGAATCAAAATTAAATTTTCAAACAATATAGGGACTGTCAAGATTGAAATATGAAAGTAGAAGGATGTAAATAACTATTTTAGCTAGATTTTAGATTGACATAAGTTTTTATTGTGTTTTACGCTTTGGTTCCCTATCATTGGGTTTTTATTTTTTAAAATTTTTTTGATTAATTAGACATAAAAAAATATGATTGAAAATAAAATTAAAGATTAAATTAAAAAAAATAATAACAAATTTTGATCAAGATATTTTTTACCATGACTCTTAAAGTGTCACTCCAAATTTTAATTAATTTTTGAAAAGTTATCATAGCATATAGATTTTTAATAATCTCAAAAAGTTATTAATCTTAAAAACCTTAAAAACAGTATGAAAACATAAGAAAAATTAAATCAGTTAAATTTGTTTTTTATTTTTTGAGTTATTATTGAAATTTAAAATAATCATCATCAAGTCTTTTTTATTAAATAAAATTTATTAACCTCAAGATTAATTTTTTCTACTCTATTCTCTCTTATAATTATCAAATTGATATGCAATTTTTTCTTTCATCAAATTGATATGCAATACCAAATTTCATGGACAGAAAAAGAAGAAGAGAATATTACTGTGAATTATTAAATGGCACAAACTATAGGCACCAATTAATTCTACTCTATTCTCTCTTATAATTACAAAACAACCCTAAGAAACTATCAATTTGCCCAACATACCCTTCAATAAAATCCCATAACCAGCCTCCATTTCTCCCAGGGTTCTCTTGCCCCTCGCTCGAAACCCCGAAACTGTAGTCAAAGCAGCTTTCCCTCCTGCCTTTTCCCCACGATTTCCTCGCCGCAAGAAACACTCCATTCAACAAGTAAGAAATTTACTTTTAAAAATTTTCACTTTTTATTTATTTCTTGATAATGGGATATTTGTGCAGATAATTTTTTTTTTTGCCTGTTCGGGATTTTTGCAGTTTTTACTAATAATGCACGTAGTGAAATAATGGGAAGTGGGAGTTTATTGTGGAATTTGACAAAGAAATATTTAACAGTCGGGGTCATAGGGCTAACCATTACAGACCGATATGCTAGTATTGTTCCGGTACGAGGTGGCTCTATGTCTCCTACGTTTAATCCTAGGACCAATACAGTTTTGGGGTCATTAGGTAATGCTTTTTCATTCTTATATTTTTTGGAAGTTTAATGATAGAAGTGGTTTTTTTTAATGCTGATTTGGGATTGTTTTGATTATTTGTTTTGAGTACAGATGACCGTGTTTTGATCGAGAAGTTTTGCCTTGCAAAGTACAAATTTTCCCATGGCGATGTGGTAGTTTTTCGGTAGGTGTTTTCGTGGATTTTGATTGGATTGTGTTTCTGTCATGGTTGGAACCCATGCTTTATTCTTATTGTGATGTGAATTTGTCTTTGGATGATTCTTGAAGCTGTAGTTTAGAATGGAGGAAATTTAAGGTTTTATTGCATTTTGGAATCTTTAAATCATTTTGGCTATACCCCATTTGAACTGTCAGGAAGGAAGGAGTGAATTCAGGGTTCTTGGTTGGGGTTTTGTTGGTAGGAAAATCCATTTGTGGCATCTTGAGGCATTAGGCTGGCCATGCCGGGTAATTAGTGGTTCAAGAGCAGTTTACTGATGACGAAGTAGTATAATTCTTCTCTTGTTTACTGATGAATCAGGCTCTTTGGACTGATGAATAATTAGTGTCGTAACTCTTCTTTGCCTAATATGAATCTTTGGATCTGATTGAAATTGGTTTTCATATGTGTCACAGTCTATTTACAGTGTCATGTTGGCTGTTTCATTATTCAGCTTAAAATA